AGCTTTTTCGCTTTTTCGCATTTGGCTCCCAAACTCTGGAATAGCCTTCCTGATAATGTTCGGGGTTCAGACACACTCTCAATCTAGATTAAGCATTCAAATAATGCATCTCATAATCACACATTATTATTCTTTAGCTTGGGTTAAACAAATACATTTTGCTTGGTTGGAACAGCAGCTATGCTAATTATGTCTCTATTTGTTTCTCTGTTTTTGCCATAACTAGGATTTACACAAGCTTCAGTCTGGATCCAGAACACCTGAGAAGAGATGATGCCAACCTCTCAGAGGACCTCAGATGATGCCAACCCTGAAACAACATACAGAACTACCACATTTTGCTATAAGTTTGATTGCATCATATAATAATTGCTGTTAATAGTGTTCATCGTCTGTTTGATTGTCTTTAATTGGTTTTTCCGTACATTTCTGCCATATGTACGTTAACTGACAGTCACCACTGATAAGCTACCACTAAATATTGTAGAAACTTAATTTGCTGTAAAGTTGCTTTGCAACGATTTGTATCGTGAAAAGCGCTATACAAAAAAACTTGAATTGAATTGAATCCACACCAACACACATTTTACCAACATCTTATCACAAGCTAATCAAGGCCATAATCCAATCTTTATTCCACTTTATTTTTTATAATTAGAGGCCCTTTTTATTTATGTATTTATTTAGTCATTTAGCAGACGCTTTACACATAACAAAAAGAAAACACGTAGATAGAATAGAAAAAGAATAGAGAAAGCTAGTGTTAGTGGTCTTTTAAAAAAAAAACAAGAAGTTGGAAAACGAATAAGTGCAAGTGTTAGAGGGTCAAGTTAACAAATAGATCAAATAGAATTAGAACAGAGAGTGCTAGAGTTAGAGGGTCAAATAAAGATGCAAGGGATGTGTTTTTAGCTGTTTCTTGAAGATGGCTAAGGACTCGAATTGAGTTGGGCAGGTCATTCCACCAGGAGGGAACAGTTTATGTAAAAAAAAAAGAAGCCTAATTAAGAATATATATGTTTATGAAACTTTATGACTAGCCTATAAATAATGTTGAATGAGTGTTTGTTGTGCATCAAAATAGACCATACATTAATATCAATGA